GGAATAGAAGAAATAGAAGTGCTATGAGGAAAATGAAGTCTATGTTGCTTAGCTAAAGGGCATATGGTGCAGGTGTATACAGTTTGAGAACATTTACTGGTAGAAAAGTCAAGAGTATGAGCTAACACACTGGATGATGTGTGTCCTAGTATTTGATGCCACAATTGAATCTGAGAGTCTGTTGAAGAAGGGGCAGCAGCAGTGTGTGCTAGATGTGACTGACATTGTGTGTCTGTGGAGTAAGTATGAGAAGGGATATGATAGAGCCCAGCATGCTCCTTACCAATCACCTTCATCTGCCCACTTGAGAGGTCCTGAATGACAACAAAGTCAGGAAAGAAAGACACAACACATTGCAGGTCTTTAGTCATTTTTGACACAGATAGTATATTGAACTTAAACTCTGGAATAAGGAGAACATTATTGAGAGTATCATGTTTAGTCAAACTACTTGAACCAGTGTGTGTGATATGAGTAGTGGTGCCAGTAATTGTACAGTTCTAGGATTATTTGGTGAAAGAGTGTGTTTCTGAACAAGCATATTAGCATGTGGTGTCATGTGATTTGTGGTTCCTGAATCTATAATCCAGTCCGTGTGAGTAGAATGACTTGTAAGTGCTGTAGTTGTACCTGCTGTGGGATATTCCTGAGCTAAATTTGCACTTGAATGAGATGAATGAGATGTAGATAGTCCGTCAGTGCCTTCATGTACATTAGTCTGTCCAAGCATAGTTAAAATCTGGTTATATTGTTCATGTAAGACAGTCATTCCTCTTTGGTAATCAGTTTGATCAACCTGACTATTTCCTCTCCCATAACCTTGGCTTCCACCATGATTCCCTGAACTCATACCTCTGTTTTGATCAAGGTCAGATCTATGGTTGTGTTCAGATTCACTAACCACATTATTGGCAGCTGGATATTATCTCCTTTCGTTAGGAGGTCTGCCCCTCCCAGTGTTAGTAGAGAATTGTCCTTTCTTCTTCCTTTCATACCCAAGGGGATATCCATGAAGCTGATAACAAATACCTTGAGTATGACCTGTGCGTTTGCAGTAATCACAAAAGGCATTTGGATCATAGGTAGAGGTGTGTGATGGTCTTGACCTAGGCACTGATTGTGTTGGATTTCGACTAGTGAACAAAGCATTCAACTCAGACGAGCTAGCAGATGATTGTGAAATGTTTCGTTGACTTTCTCTTTCAATTAACATAGAATAAGTCTTATTGAGAGATGGTAATGGTATCATCATCAAGATATGTCCTCTAGCTTGTTCATATGATTCATTAAGACCCATAAGGAATTGCAATAACTTCTGATTATGCACAAATATAACAAATTCTCTCAAGTTTGCATAGTCACAGACAGGAACTGGTGCTAAACTATCAAAATCTACACACAGTTCATTTAATCGAGCAAAATAGACTGAAATTGAACTTGTACCTTGACTAATTGTGGCAATTTCTTTATGAAGCTGAAAAATATGACTTCCATCAACCTTATCATATCGTTCTTAGAGATTCTTCCACACAACAGTTGCATTTGTGGAGTAAACAATTCCTCCAAGTAATTCCTTCGACACATAGTTCATAATCCATGAAAGTACAATTGCATTACACATTTCCCATATATTTGTCAAATTAGGACCATAAGCCTCCTTTTTACATGAACCGTCAATGAATCCCAACTTATTACGCCCTAGAATTGCAATCTTCATAGCGCAACTCCATACAGAGTAGTTATCAGCTCCGATTAGTTGAATTGAGCTGAGTGATACTCCAAAATTGTCAATTGTATGTAACAATAGAGGATGATTGTGACTTAACTTCTCAGGTAACTCATTGTCCACATTCGCCATAGCTTCACCAGCCAGATGAGCAGTACAATCAGTGTGTGTTTAGATCAGAAAGCAGTTACAACAGTAATCGATCTGCTCTGATACCATGTTAGATATCTTGAAGAAGATATCTTGAAGAACAGTTCCCTTTGATTAGGAATGTTCTAGACGTAAAGAAGAAGAATTAGAGAGAATGAGAAATGAACTTCATTGCTTAAGTGAAAAACAAATGAATCAGTAATGTGCTACATTTATACAAACTAAGTAGGAATCTTATTGTAACTAATCTAACCGACTTTTTACTAACAAACCCTCTAACTTCTATTAATTACATACAAACTCTTACTAATTACATGTAGGTCCTATGTAATACCTTCTTCAATACACTTCTTTAAGTGAGGTTAGAAATTTGAACTTTTATTTATCTCGTTTTGTTTTCCTTTCTAAAGTTGGGTAACACCTCTCTAAGTGATTTGGATAGGTAAAAATAATTTTGGACCTATAATTTTAAAATTTTAATTATTTTTAGTGATACAAACCTAAAAATGTTAAACCGATCAAATTTATATCTTAGATCCATCTTTTCGTAATAGTGCACCCATCATTTCAAAATCCTGGATATGCCTCTAATTATTTAAAAACTTGCCTTACTAATAAGTTACGGTGATAGCCAAATATTCTAATCAGGAACTGCGGCAATTTTTCAAACTTATGGCCAAACTGAGTTTATTGTAAGAAGAAGATGATAAAATATAAATTTGTTATGTTAGCGGGGCACCGAATTAAATGTGTCCTCACGGAGTAAATCACAAAAGTATAATATGTTTAGAGGCCCAATTTCAACATTTACACAATTTGTAGATTTGTGAATGAGCAATTTTCACATATAGCAGACACAAAAATCATATTTGTATGCTATAACTATAGTTTGCATAATTGCGCTCCATAGCAAACATAAATATGTATATTTCGCTATATATATACAAAAGAAAGCAGTTGTATATAATCTGTTTCTGTTTCCGTATACATATACAAAAGATCAATTGTATAATTTGTGTTTGTATAAAAGAGAGAAAGGCAAAAGGGAACTGGGCAGGAAATGTTTGTATTGTAATAATTATAAGTGTATAGGACGAAAATATATGTATTTACATGTGTATATACAATTTTCTCTCGCTTTATACAAACAGAAACATAATTTATACATTTCTGTTTGTATAAGCGAGAGAGGCGAGCGAGATCTGGGAGAGTGGCGAGCGAGATCCGGAAGAGGGGAGAGAGGGGAACGAAAATATATGTATATATACAATTTTCTCTCGCTTTATACAAACACAAACGCATTCTATACATTTGCGTTTGTATAAAAGCAAGAGAGGCGAGGGAGAGAACGAGAGTGGCGAGCGAGATTCACCAGGAGAGAGGCAAAATAGCAACAGTTTGCTATGGGGTACAATTAAATCAAACTATGTAATATATCATTTAATTTGAATTAATAGTTTGCTATTATATACAATTTTTCCTTTGTGAATTGCATTTCTATAATTTAATTGATTTAATTCTAGGGAAAATTACGCGGTTAAGCAAATTTATACTACTTAATTACTCATTATAGCTATAGTTTGCTATAATTACCACTCACGACTACATTATACATTAATTTCGTGGGCTGACTTCGAGTTTGTACAATTAGCCACGTTTGTATATGTATAATTCGCCAGAATATACAAATACATATGTATAATATACAATTGTCTAACCGATATACATATACAATTCACCTCTCTCCCACTCTCTGCCCTCTCTCGCTCACCTCTCTCCTCCCTCTCCCAATCTCGCTTGTCATATATACAAATGCATATGTATAATATACAATTATCTAACCAATACACATATACAATTCACCTCTCTCCTACTCTATGCCCTCTCTCAATCTCGTTCGCCTCTCTCCTCCCTCTCCCAATCTCGCTTGCCATATATACAAATACATATGTATAATATATAATTATCTAACCGATATACATATACAATTCACCTCTCTCCCACTCTTTGCCCTCTCTTGCTCGCCTCTCTCCTCTCTCCTCTCTCTCCCAGTCTCGCTCACCTCTCTCCTCCCTATGACATGTACCTATAAATTGTAATTATCAAACTATAGATATGGAGAATAATTATGCTATTTTTGAGTGGCTATATGTGAAAGTTCTTCTTAATTCTATTAGTCTGATTTTTGAAAGGGCAATTAACCATTTTTTCTTCTAAAAATTACAACTTTTCATATGCATTGCCGAACATACCAACAAATATTTGCATCAAAGTCCAAAGAAAAACACACTACAATAAAATCTATTGCAGTGTTGGTCTGAAAACATCATAATGGTTATAGTGAAGTGTTGTTAGATGACGCTTTGATCTTATTTAACAGTTATAAATAAAAGTACACAGAATTAATTAATAATTAATTAATTGTGTATCAAAAAAAGTCATGTATGATATATGTATCTGCTAACTAATTTAACCAAGTAGAAAGTGTATGAATGTAAAAAAGCATACACCAATTTTTTTTTCTCGTGAAATTATGATTATAATTGATGGGTACCAGTTAAATACATTTTTTCTTGTTAGATATTCGTACTTAAAATTTACTATGTGCATCACATTAATATAATGATATCATAAATATTTTAAAATTTTATTTTTATATATAATATATTTCTTGGAAAATATTATTGCACGATATTTGAATATGGTTGCTATAGAATGGTATTTTTACAAGGTTGAATGTTGTCATAGAGAAGTAAAATATAATATGAAAAATCAGGTCTGGAGAAAATTAAGCTATATTTTAGTGAAATGTTATTGTAACGAACTATACTACAAAGATGAACTCCCTTCGTCTATTTTCTTACTTGTTCAGTATTCACTTGACACGCTTTTTAAGAAATAAAAAATAGAAGGGTTAGGAATAATCATTTTACTATATCATCTTTTAATATGACCAAATAGATATTCAAAAATAATTTTTCAAAATCTGATCCAATAACTATGATAAGACGCTAGCTTAGCGAAATGAATGCAAAGCAACATGTCTCTTAGTAACAAATTATCACAAAGATTCATCAAAGAACTGATTCAAGATATCTGGATTGCTCAAATATTTCTCTCCATTAATAATTTATTTTCTAAGCAATTGGGCCTCAAACTAGAATTACAAAAAATAACACTATTATTAGATTCAATATGGACCCCAACAGGTCAAGTACATAACTTTCCTAAGTGACTCTTCAGACTGCTTTGCTTTACTGTTTGAAGAAACCATAGAAGAAGATTGAGAAGAGATTTTTTTGGCCTGTGAATATGACTTTATATTGTTCTTTGCATGCTGATTTATTGTTTTGATGGTGCAATTCCACCTACTCACTCCTTGTTCTTTCACTGCCTCAACCCATGCCTTGCTTGTTGAACTCATTTTCTAAATTTAATTTTTGATTTCTTGAAAATCTTTGCTAATGGGATATTGTGTTGGTTGTTGGTTGAATGCTCAGGGATCTGATGTTTCTCAATATATAGGTAAGTGTGGCGGCTCAATAAAACTAGTGGCTTTTAGCTCTCAATTCTTGCGGCCTTGAGCATGGTTTTCTAGAATTTCAGTTACAGTTATATTTGTGGCTGTGAATGTACTTTTTTGTCCTTGTGCATTATTTTTCATTCTTGTGGCTTTGGAGCATGGTTTTTCAGTATGATTGTGGCTGTGGAATATGTACATTTCTGCTATTCTTGTGGCTTTGGAGTATGTTTTTTCTAAAATTTCAGTTACGATTGTGTTGTGGATGTAGCGGTAGAGCCAAGTATACTTGAGGGGTGTTGACAGATACCCTTCGTCAAAAAATTATATTGTATAGCTATGTAATTTTGAATATATATATATATAGTGGCGGAGTCAAGATTTTCAATAAGAGGGTTCAAAATCTAAAAAAATAGACACATAAAGTAGCAGAAGGGGATTCGACATCTACTATATATACCTAAAAAATTATTTAAACCATGTATAAATAATATAATTTTTCGCCGAGGGGGTTCTATAAGGTGGCTCCGCCACGATATATATATATATATACTTGAGGGTTGTGGAATATTGTATATTGACACCTCTTAATCGAAACTCTTGCTCCACCACTATGTGAATGTACATTTCTACCCTTGTGCATATCTTGTGGCTTTGGTGCACGGTTTTCTATAATTTCAGTTACTATTGTGGTTGTAGATGTACATTTTTGCTCCTTCGCATAATTTTTCATTCTGGTGGCTTCGGAGCATGTTTTTCTAAAATTTCAGTTACGATTGTCTGTGAATGTAAATTTCTACCCTTACGCGTAATTTTTTATGATGAAAATTTTGAGGGTATAGTCGGTATTTCAAGTATTAATAGCTATTTGAGGGGGGATGGTTGATTGAAGTAGCAAATTGAATTTGCAATCTTGTTTTGGATTATTATGAGAGGAGCAGAATGATGTAACGCCGTAATAAATACAGTAAGATGGACGGCGGACCCACAAACTACGTGCTTTAAAGTAGGGGTATTCATCGTACTATATGGTACACTGAGAAAAATTCAGAGAATTTTGAGTTTTAATTCTTAAAAATATTATTTACTATTATGATATTGCATTTATTCGATATATATGTAATCTGGTAGCTTTCATTTTGATTTATACAGTATTGTAAGTTAGTAATTATGATTTATTTATATGTAATGTAAAATTATGATCTCGAAATACTATATTATTATCATACTGAATTAATCGATATGATTCAATATTTTTCATTTGGTTTCGATTTATATGGTATGGTAAGTCACTCACTATTGTTTGCTCGACTCCAACTTACATGCAATGTAAAATTATGAATTCGATAATGACAGAAACTCAGTTCCAAAAAAGAAAATTTAGGCCTTCATCTTGTTAAAACTGTAAACCCGCAAACTCTTTTAACTAGCTTGTCATAATTAATAGCTAAATGATTTGTCAATAGAGTATGGTTAAGGTATTTGGAATTCAGATGGATTAATGCTACCTTTGAAATGTGTATATTCTGAAATCTGATCACCTTCAGTTAGTTTAATTTTCTTTTAATTCTAACCAAAGATAATTCAAAATAAATTTATTTTTCAGTAATCGAAAGCAGGTCAGTGGCCGGTCAAAGGTCAACTATCACACCCCTAATACTTAAGTTTGAAAATTATGTGGACATAGGATCTAGGACCGACTTAAAAGTGTACAAAACAATGAAAATAATAGTATAATATGTTTTTGGACTCACGAATAAATTAGGCCCGCACATCCCTTATTTACTTTGGATAGGAACAAATTTATTAGGAAGAGTCATCTTAATTTAGTACTCGTACCATTATAAAATTTGCGTCTTAAATGAATGATAAAATTTGTGTGGTAATAAATCATTTTATTAAGGATAAAATAAATATTTTAAAGTTAAATTAGTACTTAATATAAAAATGTATCATTCTTTTTTTGACGGACTAAAAAGAAAAGTAAGTCATATAAATTGAGGCAAAGAGAGTAGTAATTTGTACACTAGAAATCCTAATTACCTACCCTATGTTCAATTTTCTTTAGGGAATGAGAGGCATGACATAACTCTTCTCAAATGTATATATTTTTGGATGATCAATATCAGATTCTCCATAATATTCAAAGCAAAGCATATTAATCTATGTGATTGGCTTAATATAAAACCATATATTAACAAAATTGAAAAATATAAAAAAGAATTACACAAGTCAAATAACACGAAACCAAATGAAAACCACTAGAATTGAGGATAATTTCCAGATATTTGGGATTGCAGAAATTTCTTTTCCATTGATTGAGCAATTTAGGCCAAGCTCTCAAAATCATTTACAATATTGTCAAAAACTGTACATGACAGCAATAATTAGATATAACTGCTATTATGATTGATCAATATGGACCCCAACAGCTCAAATACATGACTTTCCTCAGAGACTCTTCAGATTGCTTCATTTTACTGTTAGCAGAAACCAAAGAAGAAGAAGAAGATTGAGAAGACATTATTTTGGCCTGTAAATATGAGCGTAGATTGTTCTTTGCGTGCTGATTTATGGCTCTGATTGTGTAATTCCACCTACACATTCCTTGATCTTTTAGTGTCTCTACTACTCCCACGCTTACTGCTGCAACCCAGGCCCTGCTTGTTGAACTCATCTTTCTAATACAAGTTTGTGAAAGGTTTAATTTGCTTTCGATATTGTGTTGGTTGAATTCTCAGCGATTTGATGCTTTTGAATTTATAAATAAATGCGTCTCAATAAAATTAATGGTTTTTATCTCAATTCACATGGTTTTCCAAAATTTCAGTTACAGAGTCATGTGGATAAGAATGTACATTGCATACATAAAACAATGAGTACTTGAGATGGATGCACACGGATTGGGTAGATAAATGAAAACCCACTGGCTGTCTGGCCCAGGGGGACCCACATGGAGTCCGCCGGGTGCTCGGCACCCATTATCCTCGTCTCCGAATATATATCTATGTTGAACTTAAGAGATATTTGTATAAAATTAGCATAGAGCACCCAATGAATAAATGATTTGGTTGGTCCATTTGCTCTTGGGTGGGTGTTTAAGGTTCTTTTACACTCTGTTTGGATCATTGTTACCTATTGTTTCATAATGTATTGTATTGTACTGTATTGTATGATAGATACAATGTTTGGCTAGACTGTATTGTTTGTTGTTGTTTAATAACATTTTAATTGTTTGGTTTGATTGTATTGTAATTTATAAATTTACTAAAATATTCTTAATTATTCTAGGGTAGGAGGTTTGACTATAATTAAGTAATATAAGGTAAAGGATAAAATAGTATTTTGAAATATTATGTAAAGATATAATTGAAAAAGAAATTAAGTAACAATGGGAACGCACCAAATCGGTTGTTCCATAAATTAGAGGTTTTCATTGTTACATAACAACGAAATTTAACAATACAATACATTTTAAGTAACAATCAAAACAAACATTGTAGGTATAGTAACAATACAATACAATACAATGGGTAACAATGATCCAAACAGAGTGTTAGTGTTGTTGAGTTTGAGTTCGAATCTCACTGTTAACATGTCTTTTTATATTTTTGACTCATGTGATACTCACTAGGTAAAAAAATAATCTAACGTTGTAGTGTGTACAAATATAACTTTTTAAACTTATTTAGGTTCGACTTAACTTGATTCGATTATATTTTAACTCGATCAGCTTAACCTAGTCAGAATCAAAGATTATTTCAGCTTGATTTATTTTTTCTCTTGATTATGTAAAGCGTATATGATGGATAATAATAAACCAAACTATCCTTAAAATTTACGTAATATTTTAATAAGAAATATAATTTTAAATTTTAAATATATTTCTTACACAATAAAAATAATAATATCCTAAAATTAGTAATTTATTATCTCTTTTGCGCATTATTTCTCCAATATAAAAATAGTAATGTCCTAAAATTAGTATTTTATTTTCTTTATTGTTTTGATAATTCATAATGTTCATTTGTTATAAATCAAATAGAGATAAATATATTAATATTAATTTAGATTTAAAGTCAAATAATTACGTATTTAAAAAAATGTTAAATTATGATTTGTGCTATTAACCTCATACAAATCAATTGTATTATTTTTATGACAAAAATAAATAGTTATTTAAAATTACTTGTAAATCAACAAAATCAAAATATAATTAATTATTTTTTTCATTTTACTTTCTCTAATTAATTTATTATTTTTTGTTCTTGAAATTCAAGCTATAAAATATTTTTTATTATATTAACATGACAAGAATTGCAACTAATAATATTTTTAGGTTGAATTGCAACTTAGTGAGAAGGTTATATTTTTTAACAAACACTATAAATTGCAATTCTTATCATGTTAATATAATAATAATAATAAAAAATTAAAAATATCAATTAAATTTCACATAGCTTGAATTTCAAGAATAACATATAGAGTATCATATAAATTGAGAGAGTATGTATGTATGTAGGAGTTTATGGATGATTTTCGATTACATGAAAATAGAAACAAAACTTATGTAATTATTTGTGAAGATTACGGATGGTCTTTCTGTTATATTTCTTGTTGGAGAATATTGGATACATTTAAGTGTTTACGAAATTAGAAAATTATGAAACTATTGAACGAGAAAAAAAATGATTTTATACTCCTTTTGTATTAGTTATTTTACTTTTTTTTTACATGTTCTTTAAAAAATGATAATTTACTAAGTTACTCTTTAAGATATTTGTTTTTTTATAACTTTACAAATTTTGTTTATACTTTAAAAAACAATAATTGCTAGGGTAATGAAAATAAAAAAATGACAGTTTAATTTTGTTAATCGATAAATAATTTTAATAACTATTTTTAGTAATTTATATAACTAATATAGGATAGAAAAATAATACCAAATGTTAGGAGTATGATGAATTAGACTAAATTTTATACTTTAAAAATTATTTAAACATAAGGAAAATAACAAAATTTGAAATAATGGTTAAAACAAAATAAAAAGTGGAAAAGTTAAAATAATGGGAAAAAGTTAAAAAAGTAAGAGAGAAGGAACTTTGACCCATTTTTTTGAAAATGGGACCCAATTATCTGCTTGTCAAATTATGAAAGGAGGCTCACACAACTTTTGTATGCCACCTCATACTTGTCCCTCAAACACCATAAAAACTTTTGTATGCCACCTCATACTTGTCCCTCAAACACCATAAAAACTTTTGTATGCCACCTCATACTTGTCCCTCAAACACCATAAAAACTTTTGTATGCCACCTCATACTTGTCCCTCAAACACCATAAAAACTTTTGTATGCCACCTCATACTTGTCCCTCAAACACCATAAAAACTTTTGTATGCCACCTCATACTTGTCCCTCAAACACCATAAAAACTTTTGTATGCCACCTCATACTTGTCCCTCAAACACCATAAAATTGCCTTCTGCCTCTACAATTATAATTTTACTTTTTCTTCCAACTCCCTAATTTAATTGAAATATTATTATAATAGGTAAAAAAAAAAAATGGTACTTTATTGATTTGTCAAAATAGAGAAATGAAAAGAAAAATTAAACAAATAATTAGAGAAAGAAGAGAGTACTTGATTTGCTTAATGATTATTTAAGAACTTCAAATTTCAAAACCATATGCATATTCATTAGTATTACAGCATACTTGTAATTAAGCATGTTAGCTGGAAGAGATGTAATTAGTTGATCCGTTAATGCCTGAATTCACCGAAAGATCAACTCTCTTCATAGAGTTTTTTCACATACAATGGTTGGAAGATTTCGACATACATGCTTATCTTTGAAATGGCATGCCCTTAACTAGTACAGTATGTCCTATTTACAATCATAGCCTAATTTTACATTTTATACTGTCTCCTATCATCACTATTAAAATCTTCAATTTGGACCCCAACAGCTCAAATACATAACTTTTCTCAGAGATTCTTCAGATTGCTCTGTCTTTTCACTCTTTGCAATCAGAGAAGAAGAAAGTTTCTTAGCTTGAGAGTAAGATCTTATGTTATTCTTTGTGTGTTGTGCCAAACACTTCAATGGATAATCCCATCTACACAATCCAACTTGATCTTTTAAGGCTTCCACTGCTCCAACACTGGCTGCTACTATCCACGCTCTCCTGCTTGAACTCATTTTGATTAAATTCCTTATAAAATTAATCACTTTTTTTTCCTGCTTTGTTTTTGATATATTATATGAATTGATTCAATGATGTTTTGATTGCTTGTACATTTGAATGTTTTTGAGTTGTATGATGTAGAGAAATTGGGGCTAAATATATAGGCACAGTACTGATGTAAAGAAGCAAAGGGGGAAGAATCTAGAAAGTGATAAACCAGTGGTTTTACGGCGACTGTGGGCTCTAAAGCCAGTGTTTTTTTTTTGTTTTTGTTTTTTTTTTTTTTTTTTTTTTTCTCAACTCTACCCCTGAAAAAAAGGACAGTATTCAAATTTTACTGAGAAAAAGACAAAGAGTCAATTTTTTATTTATCACAGATGTCATTTAAATAATTCACGATAAAAATTAACATATTTTTTAATTATATTTTTATATTTTAATAATATTGGATTTTAAAGAAATACTTATTACATAAGAATAATTTAATTAATTACACATTATATATATATATATATGTTCAATTTTTATCAAATAATACTGTACTTAATTATCTTAAAATTAAGAAAATACTTCATATTTAGAATAATCGATGGAACCTGGCTGGTCCTAAGAAATTCATTTGATCTCCTGCTGAAATTGCACAACTACCAAGTAAAAGTTTATAGACTTTAGAATAATGAGCCTCTACTAATGTGCTGAGATTTAAAATTCATGGAGATTCATATATTTTAAATTCTTTCAGCTGAATCTTGTTAGTGAAAAATTAAATTATAAATTAAATATAATTAATAGTATATATATAATATTATATATATGCATAATATTTTTTTATTTTTTATTTTTTGTGTATTTGATTTTTTATATTTTGGCTTTCTAATACTTTCCCAGTCTCAATTTATGTGGCACTTTTCATTTTTCGAGATTCAAACAATTTAAATTTGATTGAAAATTTGCACGTGGAATCTTCAATTTTTTAAAATGAAATTTATATATTTTTAAACTATAAGTTATACTCCACAATAATTGACAATTTAAAATAATTTAAAAATATATGAGAAATTTACTATAAAAAATGGACTTGTTTGAATCTCGAAATTCGAAAAGTGTTATATATATTGAGACAGGGGTAAAAAAATTTAACTCCACTAATATACATAATTGATTGAGACAAATAATATATTATTCGGAAAATATTTGTAGACGAAACTGAGGACTAGAACCACTGGTTTCTTCATAAACCAATGGTTTTATTACCAGGAATCAAGACAGGCTACATGTTCTGTAAAATGTACTTTCAAAATCTAAAGTAAATTTAAAATCCTCCTTCCTAATTTAATTTTGAGTATTCAATTATTTTTGTTCTTCCTTTTCTCCTCCTTGTTATCTTACCGTCAATTACTCAGAAAAAATAGAAAAATGTCAAATGCTCAAAAATTAGTTTTGTTCTTCTTATTTTTTCCTATTTTATTTATTAGTCTTAAAAATATAAATTTAATCGATATAAGAAACCTAAATGATTAATTTATATTCATTGATTAATTTAATTAATCAGATAAATTAATTTATATTTATTTATTGAAAACTTAAATTCTAGATCACTAAATAAGAATACTAGTTTGTTATGAGGCGTGAAACTTAAAAGACCACTGAATAAGAATACAATGATAAACTTATATGATTTCTTATGAAGGCATAAATAATAAAATGGTGATATATAAATAGAAACGGAGTGAGTACGGCATTACTGAATTCTAAGCTTTCTTCAAAAATAAGAACTTTTAGCAACGGTAAAATGTACTTAATCCAAAATATTAACGGAGGTAAAACTAATTCCATTTTATATAATTTAGAGGTAAATTAGAACCATTTTACATTGGTAAATAGATGGAAAGTTTCAAAACTACAAATTTCACATGATTCATTAGAGAACTGCGTCAATATCAATATGGACTAGAAAAAAAATGTTTTCCCATTAATATTGACAAGGCAATTAAGCCTCAAGCTATAAAACTACTGCTTCAACATTCTCCTAAATTCTCAAGGAATATATATATGTACATAAGAATATCAAAAAATTTAACAGTTGGAATTCAATATGGACCCCAACAGGTCAAGTAGATAACTTTCCTAAGAGACTCTTCAGACTGCTTAGCTTTCTCCTTCATTTCACTTTTTGTAGAAACCAAAGAAGATAATTTTTTGGCGTGTGAATATGAGCGTAGATTGTTCTTAGCGTGCTGATTAATGGCTCTGATTGTGTAATTCCACCTACAAACTCCTTGATCTTTTAGTGCCTCTACTACTCCTAAACTCACTACTGTAACCCATGCTCTGCTTGTTGAACTCATCTTCAAATCTTGGCTTACTATTTTTGTGAGTGCTTTTACAAAGACTTGTTCTTTTTGTGTTTGTTGGATTCAATTACTTGGGATGATGAATGGATGATTTTTTTATATATATATATATAGGTAAGTATTGCTCAATAAAACTAGTGGCTTTTGGCTGTGCTATTTTTATTTTCCTGTGGTTTTTGGAACATGGTTTTCCAATTTTGGAGGTAGGTGTGTGTTTATGGAGGTGAAGTTGACACTTCAATTATTACTACGTGTACTATATTTGGAGAGCACACTGTTTTTTGGAGTGACACATGTTCTGGTATAAATGAGGCTAAAATAAATAAATAAAATTTTAATAAGAATGCACACGGATTGGCGAGATTAAAGAAAATCCACTTGCGCCAAAACCATGGGAAAGGATATTCAAATGAAACCAATGTCAGATGATTGAACATAAATGTAGTTGTATATCGTTTCTTTTCCAATGTATAATGTAATTCTCCGGAAGTAATAATTAAAAAAATATAGAAAAAAATGATAACAATAAAATATAATACGATGATTAAAACACAATAAACGTTAAATATGTATCAAAGTAACTATATGTATAAGATTAATACTATGGCGCACACAATGCTTAGTAACGATCTTCACACCATTTTATCTTATATAAGATATATTTTGGTATGTTAAAGTTATGTTGCATCGGATATATTCACCTCTTTTCAATAGTTTTCAAACACTCTTTTGATATACCCTTGATAACTTATTTTTAATGATTTTTGACTTTTAAGATATTTTTTAATTTTGAAAGTGTTTGGATAACTTTAAAAATGAAAAAGTATAAAAAGAAAAAGAAGAAGTCAATATGATATTGTTTTGATCGTTACAGTTCAAAGAGATATGGAAATAGAAATATGCATAAATAAACTATTTGACTTGGAAATATATTCTGATCCAATTGAAAGAAATTGAAGAAAGAGGGACCAATCCAAAAGAAAAACTTTCTCTAGGTAAAGACTATTCACAAGAAGCCTACAGAAAAATTTATACCTAAGTTTATGTTTAAGAAAATGCAAATAAATGTGCCTGAAAGCATCAATTTACATTTTCAATTTCCACTCTTCGTCATTTAATATTTTTAATTTGTACTGATCTTTTGAGATGCTGTTCGATCTTAATTCTATTTCTAATTTCAGATTTTAAAAACTATATACTATAGTATTTCATTGAAGTGATACAAAAATATTGGAATAGCTGATTTGTCATCAAAGCAACAAATATATCAACACGTTTTCTCATATAATTTTCGAAATAGACAGTAGTCCTATTTAATTACAATCAATTTGGACCCCAACAGCTCAAATACATAACTTTTCTCAATGATTCTTCAGATTGCTCTGCCTTTTCATTCTTCGCAATTAATGAAGAAGAAAGTTTCTTGGCTTGAGCATAAGATCTCATGTTATTCTTTGTGTGTTGAGCCAAAGACTTCAATGGGTAATTCCATCTACACAATCCAACTTGATCTTTTAAGGCTTCCACTGCTCCAACACTGGCTGCTACTATCCACGCTCTCCTGCTTAGACTCATTTTGATTTTATTTCTTCTAAAATTTAACTCTGTTTTTCTGCTTTGGTTCTCTGTTTTTTTGTTTTTGTTTTGATAGCTAGTAGATTTGATGATTTTAGAGATGATGTTTAAAAGTTGGGGCTAAGGTTGAATATATAGGCATGAAGAGTAAATTGGATGAAGAGAGTGTAGCCACTGGTTTTTGGGTTACTGTGGGTTCTACCGCCAGTGGTTTTCTAGACGTTCCATTCATTCATTGTGATTTCTTAAAATAAGACACGAGTTGGAGCACGGCAAGCTTTTGTCATCCTTAATACTTTTTTTTTGTATTTTACTTTTTATATTAATTATTTGTTTTCTAAATTAACCTATCATTATTTCTCAAAAGCATACAAAATTCAAATAGACAAAAAAAGAAAAATAACGGATGAAGTGGGAATCCAAAACTTGGATGGGTCTAAGAATGGCGCATTTGTTTTCAAGTAAATTTATTTGTCATTTAGGTAAATTTGAGTGATTTTTATTTTTTCAAAAAGAACTTGGTGAACTTTATATCACTTCCCTTGAAATTCAAGTAAAAGTGTACATAATTTCTTTTTCATTTTGGAGGTCTCGAGTCCGATTAGGCAGTTAATCGTCTTTATTAAAGATATCATAATTATGAGATTTTCTGGGATGATTCGAGTTTAATCGGGACTCAAACCAAAACCCAATTTATGTGTTAGACAAAGGTTAGTAATTTTAATTGTGGTTCTATATTTATGTATGTTTCGGATCCTAAAATAACACGCAAATATATTATCTGCAAGCATGATGAAGCGATACAATATACTATTTGATCTGTCAAATTATTCGTTCATCTTGTAATTATTTCCCACATTTCGATATACGTGCTTCTATTGAGTTGGAATGCCATTCAACTCTATTTACGGTATCCTTCTTCTTCTTTTTTCTTTTCTTTTTTTACTCTCTAGCTCTACAAAAAATATTTGGAATAAAAGCATTTGTTAAGAAAAGATCAAATTGGGATTTGGGATCCCGGCAGGTCAAGTACATAACTTTCCTCAATGAGTCTTCAGACTATTTTGGTCGCTTCTTTCAATTATTATTATGACTTCTCTGATTTTCTTCTAAAATTAACTCCGTTTTTTTAAATTAATTTTGATAATATAAATTGACTATTAACGACAATGGCATAGTTATCACTAAATATGTTTAAAATATTTTTATAAAA